GATGCTTTCTTAAATATATAAAGTATATAGATTTTCTCTTTTACACACTTTTAAACACTAATGTAGGCCATATTCTTTTAGTATATAAAAAGGTCTGATATATACGCGCGCGTGCGTATATGTGAGAATTTAAACTAAATTAACATTATCTAAAAAATATTAAAAAATAACAATTCATTTATAGACAATCATATAAATGGATAAATTATATAAGTAAGTTTCAATATTATAAAAAGATAATGATATCTTCATCCAAAATCAATACAAAAAATCAGTTTCCTTTTATATTAAAAAGGATATATATATGTATGTATGTCGTATGTGTGTTAAAGAAAGTAAAAATAAGTCTTATTAAAATTGGATTTAACTGAATTTTTAAAGCATCCATGATATAAAATTGATGAAAAATAATTTTTTGGATGATTGACAAATATATTGATGAAATAAAAATTTAAAAAAATATATAAATTATCCGCACCATATACACACATGCCTTTTTTATTTATTTTTATAGCAATTAAACAGTCTTATTAACGTAATACTCAATAAGTTTTCTTTTTATATCAGACCTCTATGTACAAAAATCAATAATTGGTAGCAAAAGCAATTGCTACCACACACACACACACACACACACATACACAAAGAAAAGCTCTTTACATTAAATATTTTATATATTTCTTATATTCAAATTTATAACTTCTTAGATATCAACAATTAATACATCTTTGACAATAAAGCGAGAATCTTTGTTAACATAGGAATTAAATCAGGCGATGTTTTTATATAATTGTGAAACGATTAACAATGTGTATATGTGTGTGTATGTGTGTGAATAACTGAATAATATAACAATCACTAATAAAACTGTTTGTCTAGATAATAGATATTTTATAATTTTAATCGATTCTCTATCATATTTGAAAAATTATCTAATAATCGCGCGCATTGGTATTAAATTTTTTGTTGTAATTTTTTATTTTTTTATTTTATGAGTACAAAATAAAATAATGTGTAATACTGTTTTATTTTTTATTAGTTATGCAAACAATTAATGTAATCAATTCTCATAAATATATTTCTAGTATAGAAAAATGGAAGGGTTTAAGTCACAAAAGGACACACATTTAATGTGCTTAATTTTAGAAAATGTGATAAAATTTGTGAAGAGAATATTTCGACTATAAGAGAAAAGAAAAACGATATCATAATGAAATAAATATGCTTAAAGCTATAATAACTATCTGAAAAGTGAGCTCGATATACGGTGAGTCGATATACGAAACCATTATAGTCATTTTATGACAAAGATCTCTCTTACATGGAGAAGAGTAAAAAACTCCTCTAATATTATGCATTGTGCAATAAAAAACGCTCAATTCCATTTTTTTTTTCGATGGTAGAAAATTGATGTGTACGCACAAATAGAGACATGGTCTTGATTTATCATGTTGAGGATGAACAGTCAATATCTCCAACACTCTCTTTTTTTTGCGACAGATATAATGGATTAATCCTGAACTATAGATTCGAAAATTCTAATTTAATTTTCGCGATACAGGTGTCAGAGTTTTCTCGTTTCGCATTGGCACGCTCTCTGTGATACTTATTCTCGAAAGATGTAACATCCACAGAGTACAAAGCAAAAGATACTTCATAGCAGTTATTAATGCTATGACAGGAGGAGCAGAAGGTAAGAAGTCATAGATACCTTATACTGAGGAACAGAAGAATCGTTCTTTTTGATGAATCTCCTAAACTCAAGGACGTACTCTCTCGGGAATAAAGAAGAAAAGCTCTTTACATTAAATATTTTATATATTTCTTATATTCAAATTTATAACTTCTTAGATATCAACAATTAATACATCTTTGACAATAAAGCGAGAATCTTTGTTAACATAGGAATTAAATCAGGCGATGTTTTTATATAATTGTGAAACGATTAACAATGTGTATATGTGTGTGTATGTGTGTGAATAACTGAATAATATAACAATCACTAATAAAACTGTTTGTCTAGATAATAGATATTTTATAATTTTAATCGATTCTCTATCATATTTGAAAAATTATCTAATAATCGCGCGCATTGGTATTAAATTTTTTGTTGTAATTTTTTATTTTTTTATTTTATGAGTACAAAATAAAATAATGTGTAATACTGTTTTATTTTTTATTAGTTATGCAAACAATTAATGTAATCAATTCTCATAAATATATTTCTAGTATAGAAAAATGGAAGGGTTCAAGTCACAAAAGGACACACATTTAATGTGCTTAATTTTAGAAAATGTGATAAAATTTGTGAAGAGAATATTTCGACTATAAGAGAAAAGAAAAACGATATCATAATGAAATAAATATGCTTAAAGCTATAATAACTATCTGAAAAGTGAGCTCGATATACGGTGAGTCGATATACGAAACCATTATAGTCATTTTATGACAAAGATCTCTCTTACATGGAGAAGAGTAAAAAACTCCTCTAATATTATGCATTGTGCAATAAAAAACGCTCAATTCCATTTTTTTTTTCGATGGTAGAAAATTGATGTGTACGCACAAATAGAGACATGGTCTTGATTTATCATGTTGAGGATGAACAGTCAATATCTCCAACACTCTCTTTTTTTTGCGACAGATATAATGGATTAATCCTGAACTATAGATTCGAAAATTCTAATTTAATTTTCGCGATACAGGTGTCAGAGTTTTCTCGTTTCGCATTGGCACGCTCTCTGTGATACTTATTCTCGACAGATGTAACATCCACAGAGTACAAAGCAAAAGATACTTCATAGCAGTTATTAATGCTATGACAGGAGGAGCAGAAGGTAAGAAGTCATAGATACCTTATACTGAGGAACAGAAGAATCGTTCTTTTTGATGAATCTCCTAAACTCAAGGACGTACTCTCTCGGGAATAAAGGCGTTGCACGATTATGATGCAGCACCATGGTCCTTAGTTCTTACACAATTGTGTGTACATATACTCTGTCTTTGTAACTTATAAAATATTACATTTCCTCGAACGCCGCCGTTTTCTTTGATTTTTTTCCAATTCGGCTGGTGGTTGATTTTTGATAATACGAACAACCTTGAACACAAACATCATAAGTCCTTATATCAATCTGCTCTATTAATTTAAATAATATAAATGTTATATTTGTTAATTAAATACTATAATATTTTCATCTATCAGTTTTTACCTCGTGAAATGCAGCATCTACATTTAAAGGTGGATCTTTGGCAGAAGTTTCAATATAAGGTATGCCCAAACGATGAGCCAATTCTCTTCCCTGTTCCTCTGTGACTTTTCTCAAATGCACTAGATCAACTTTATTGGCCACCAATAGCATAGGATAAATATCTCTGTCTTTCACTCGTAGAATTTGAGTATGAAAATTGACAATGTTTTGATAAGATTGTTTATCGGTCACGGAATATACCAAAAGAAATCCATCACCTTTACGCATGTATTGTTCACGCATAGCACTAAATTCTTCTTGACCAGCTGTATCCAACACTATAAGAACACAAACACAGGGATTCATTAGAGAAGTCACTTTTAATGTTCTATAACTTCTAATAATCTCTCACTATCATCAATTTCTTAATTATTGAATCTTTGTTAACGGAAAATAATACAAATCAATATGGTGCATCGATAATAAAGTATTTAGATATACAAGATATTTATGTAGAAAAAAAGAAGGTAAAAACTTTACCATCCAGGATACACCATTGGCCATCTATCTCCGTGTGTTGAATATAACTATCTTCAATAGTTGGATCATAATCTGCGACAAACAGTTTCTGAAAAAACTGTATCGTAAGGGCACTCTTGCCGACCCCTCCATCTCCAACAACGACCAGCTTAAAGGTCATAAGGTTGTCATTATTAGGAGGACGTGTCATTCCGCCTCTGGATCGTCCACTCCTTCGCCCGCTACTGTTCCTGCGTCTGCCTATTCTGCCAACTCTTCTAACGTATCTTTTTGGCAGTGCAACCGCTCGTGGGATGGTAAATTGTTTCGTCAGCTCGAAAGATTCTGCGACAATCAACAATAGAGTTTTAGAATGTCTCGCACGGATGTCCAACGACAAAAATGAGTCGGAATTTTTTTTTATCGTTTACAAATAAACAAGCGAAACCGTGGCATCGTCGACATTAGCGGGTGTGTCAATTCCGCGTGCAACAATGCGAAAGTAAACTTGTTCTTGGATCTTCTTCGATCTTTTCGTCAAGAGACGCTTTGCAGCTTTACGGTTTACGATTCGCGCGCAACAAGAGACGGGATATCATTGTATATTTGGGGCAATAAAGAATTGAATCCCGTAACAAGATATCGCTCACCTTACATGATCTGCCACTTCTGCTTCTCGTGCTGGCAGCTGTCAGTTCGCAGATATGTACCGTGTGCAAATATATCCGCGCGTGTATGCGTAAAATGTTTTGCGCGATATACGGCGAAAGCGAACTAATACGAACACACATACGCACTTTCACGCATACACGCATACAACAGAGCGCGTGCGCGCCGCGCTCGAGTATCATTTGCAAGTACGCTAAGACCATAGACATTAGTGTTATTAGATGGGCTCCCTTTTTCGCGCATGCGTGTTGAAGTGGTATAAAAATGAAGTAATTAAATCTTATGAAGTGAGGTCTTCTATGGCCCCAGTTTAATCATTTTTAAAAGTTATTTAGAAATTTTTGGAAAATTAATTAAAAACATAAAATAAAAAAATAATATGCACAAATTATTATTATTTATTTACGTAGTTATTTCTACAAGATTTCGCCAAAACTGAATGCCATTGTTATGTCGCGCATGCGCGAATCGTATTAACAGCCTTCTCTTCCGTTTTTTATATTTATGGTTGCGATCAAATAAGCGATACCAACCTTCTCGGTTATCTATAGATTGGTAATATGCTAGTATATTAGTATATTGCCACTAACTTCAGAGGACGTATATTCGCTGCCGGTTGCACAGTTATTTTGTAGGTTATGTTGACAAACACCTTGAATTAATGCATTGGTTCATTATTTTATATATATATTAATATTTAAAACTGTAATAAAATAATAATAATCGAAAGCAGAGCGAACAAATGTACGTATATACATCTTAAAATTTTAATTTATATTACTATTAACATACGATTTGCTCCTAATCGTCAAGTTGTTTACATCGTGTGAAAAATGTGCTAAAAGTTGATAATAGTTAAATAATAATATCAATTTTTATTTATCTTATTTTCTTATCGCAGTGATTATAAAAGTGATTATATAAAGAAATGTATAACACGAATGTGTTTATAAAAGTTGAAATAACAAAAATAATTTCCAAATTTTTAAACTAGATACCGAGAGGAAGAGGCTGAATTAATAGAAATATCAAAATGGATGCTGATTTGTATGATGAATTTGGAAACTATATTGGTCCTGATCTGGCATCAGAGAGCGAGGATGAAAATGAATATGGCAATGTTGGTGATGACGCCGACGACAGAGAACGGTCCGATGAGGAAATGGAGGAAGACAAGGATGAGTCACGTGAACAAGTGGAGCAAGGATCTTCTATGGCAGTTGTATTACACGAAGATAAACGATATTATCCAAGTGCATTAGAGGTGTACGGTCCTGAGGTAATAAAGCATATTAATTTACAATTGAAAGCTATTTATTGTTCTTACAGTTCTTTTATATATATTCAATTGGAATATAAATATCCTTATGATTTATCAATAAAAAATTAGATGTATGTTCAATCTTCAATGTACCTTCAAGCAGGTGTTACCTATATATATATATCTTATGTACTTTTTTTCTATAAATACTTTTAGGTAGAAACACTTGTGCAAGAAGAAGATGCTCAGCCACTAGATAAACCACTGATAGCACCTACTAGAAAACCAAAGTTTCAAATAAAGCAGCAACAGTTGCCTGAAACGACATATAGTATTGAATTCTTAGCAGATATAATGGATGCTCCGCATCTAATTAGAAATATAGTTTTGCTAGGACATCTTCATCATGGCAAAACTACCTTGGTTGATTGTTTGGTGCAACAAACGCATCCTTATATACACAGTATAACCGACGAGAAACCATTGAGGTATGTATGAAGGTGTATAACGTAGCTTTTATTTATATTGAACTAATCACACGAAAATAAAACCTAGTTTATATGTATATTAATAGGTATACGGATACATTGTTCACCGAGCAACAGAGAGGTGTTTCTACGAAAGCAACTCCCGTTACTCTTCTGCTACAAGATGTCAAATCCAAGTCCTATCTCTTGAACGTATTTGATACACCAGGCCACGTGAATTTTTCCGACGAGGCGACAGCTGCGATCCGTTTGTCAGACGGCGCTGTACTGATCGTCGATGCGGCGGAAGGTGTGATGCTAAACACCGAACGTCTACTGAAGCACGCGCTTCAAGAGAAGCTCGCTCTGACAGTCTGCATAAACAAGATAGATCGTTTGGTATTAGAGTTGAAACTGCCGCCATTGGATGCCTATTACAAACTGCGTCACATTATCGAGGAGATCAACGGATTGATAGCATTATACTCTTCGGATGTCGAGAATCCCGCTTTCGTTTCGCCTGCTGTCGGAAACGTGTGCTTTGCCAGTTCCGAATACAGTGTATGCTTCACTCTGAAATCGTTCGCCGCGCTCTATGCCAGGAATTATCCCGGACTCAACCCCAACGAGTTCGCCAAGCGACTCTGGGGTGATATTTATTTTAATCCTAAAACGCGGAAATTCACCAAGAAACCTCCGCATAATACAGCGCAGCGAAGCTTCATCGAGTTCATCTTGGAGCCTCTTTATAAGATATTTGCGCAAGTCGTCGGCGATGTCGACACGACGTTACCAAATGGTAAATTTTATTTCCTCTTTCTCTCTTATTATAACTTGAAAAGATTTCGAAAAACAATTACATATATGTTTTACGCGTGCAGTTTTGGACGAACTCGGCATACGATTGACATCCGAAGAAATGAAGATGAATATACGACCGCTGCTAAGACTTGTCTGTACGCGCTTCTTAGGAGATATGTGCGGATTAGTCGATATGTGTGTCGCTCACGTACCTAGTCCGCAAGCGCACGCACCTAATAAAGTACAACATGTCTATACTGGTCCGATTGACTCGCCGCTCGCGCAGGATATGGTTAATTGTGATCCAGATGTCAGTATTTTAATTTGAATCTCAATTATTGCGATTTAATTCGATTAGATCTTAATATCAGATTTTAATAAGAATTATAATATATATTAATAGCATCAACAAGTATATGAATAGACAAATGTTTTTCTAGGGAAGATTAATGATTCACAGCACAAAGATGTATCCAACCGAGGATTGCACCCTGTTTGTAGTGCTTGGCAGAGTAATGTCCGGCACACTGGAAGCGGGACAACGCGTTCGAGTATTAGGCGAAGCATATTCACGCACGGATGAGGAGGATTCACGCGTTCTCACAGTGGGTAGATTATGGATCAGCGAAGCGCGTTACTCGATCGAACTGACTCGGGTGCCCGCAGGCAATTGGGTTCTCATCGAAGGTATCGATCGGCCGATTGTGAAAACTAGTACCATTACGGATCTCAATAGTTCAGAAGACTTGCACATCTTTCGGCCACTCAAATTCAACACGCAGAGTGTCATCAAGATCGCTGTCGAGCCGGTCAATCCGTCCGAATTGCCCAAGATGTTAGATGGTTTACGAAAAGTAAACAAGAGCTATCCGCTGTTGGGCACGCGCGTGGAGGAAAGCGGCGAGCACGTTGTCCTGGGAACTGGCGAACTCTACCTCGACTGCGCGATGCACGATCTCCGTCGCATGTATTCTGAGATTGATATAAAAGTGGCCGATCCGGTGGTCGCTTTCGCGGAAACAGTAGTGGAAACCAGTTCCCTCAAATGTTTCGCTGAAACGCCGAATAAACGGAATAAATTGACAATGATAGCGGAACCACTGGAGAGAGGTCTTGCCGAGGATATAGAGGCCGAACATGTCCGTATCACGTGGAACAAGTAAGTAACAGTATAACATTCATATATGCTTGCTATTTTTCTATTGTACATTGTTTGAGAATTGATGAAAAAGAATGAGATTTCTATTTTCTGAAATTTCTTGAATCTATATTTTTATTAGCGAAAACATTGAATCTATAATTTTTTCGAATTATAAGTGATGAATTTTCTATGAATTAAATAATAGAGTATTATATATATATTTTTCTGAATTTGTCACAAAGATTTTATTTGAAACCGGATTTCATAAGTCAGAAGCAAGGAATGCCCCTTTTTTCCCTGTCTTCCCCCTTCCTTTCTCCTCCCCCTCCCGCTCCACTTTATTTCTTTATTACTCTTTGCCGAGATACCCCCTTCTTCCGTTCTGAATTTGTCACAAAGATTTTATTTGAAATTTTAATTTGGGAACTACTAGAAGTTATTATAATCGAGTATTGAAAGTCGAAAAGTTATTAAAAAGATCTCGCTGCACATTTTTACATACATATTGATTACAAATTTTACAAGGAATAACATGTCACATGTTCCATTATTCTCACTCTCCAATTTTGAAATATATTATATCGTCAATAATATATACACATCCAGTATATTGAAAAATTTTATATTATTATTTATTTTTAAATTGACTAATATGATTCGTATGATTTGTTTTTAATTTAATTCTAATTTTCTCTTCCAGAAAGAGACTAGGAGAATTTTTTCAAACAAAATACGATTGGGATTTATTGGCAGCGCGTAGCATATGGGCATTTGGTCCTGACTCTACTGGGCCTAATATCCTAGTGGACGATACTTTACCTTCCGAAGTAGATAAAACACTATTAAACAGTGCACGCGATGCTATCATTCAGGGCTTTCAGTGGGGAACTCGCGAAGGACCATTGTGCGAAGAGCCGATCCGAAATGTCAAATTCAAGATCCTTGATGCTGTCATCGCACAGGAGCCACTGCATCGAGGAGGTAATTTAATTAGCATCGTAGGAAACTGATAAAGATTTAAATAATATCCATAAACACATTTTGTTTAAAACTTGGAATATAGAAAATATTTTAAAAATTTCTCGCTTCAACAAAAAGGATTTATTTGTAATACACGTAATCCTTAATTTCATTATAAAGATTTCCAACTATTTGCATACAACCAAAAAAAGTTAATTCTACTGCATAGATGAAAAATTTGTAAAGGAAAGAAGAATAATTTTTAGAATGTGCGTGTATCTTGATTCCGTGTCCTCAGGTGGTCAAATCATTCCTACCGCTCGACGCGTCGCATATTCCGCTTTTCTGATGGCGACACCGCGTTTAATGGAACCTTACCTGTTCGTCGAAGTGCAAGCTCCCGCGGACTGCGTGTCCGCTGTTTACACAGTCCTGGCCAAGCGGCGAGGTCACGTAACGCAAGACGCCCCGGTGCCGGGTAGTCCGTTGTACACGATCAAAGCCTTCATACCAGCCATCGACAGTTTTGGTTTTGAGACGGATTTACGGACGCATACCCAAGGTCAAGCGTTTTGCCTTTCCGTCTTTCACCATTGGCAAATCGTTCCCGGTGATCCTCTGGACAAAAGCATAACTATCAGACCGCTGGAGCCGCAACCGGCTACCCATCTGGCTAGAGAGTTCATGCTGAAGACGCGAAGACGCAAGGGTCTGTCCGAAGATGTTTCCATCAACAAGTTCTTCGACGATCCTATGTTGCTGGAGTTGGCTCGGCAGGATGTACTGTTGAATTATCCCCTTTAATTTAATAAATATATACCACACGAATTGTGATGTAATATATTGCCAAGCATTAAATTTTCATATAAAGAGAAACATGCATCCTGTACGATTTCTTAAACTGCGCATGATTAATTCTGTATTCTTCTTTCTATCGAGATATTTCTCTAACGAATCTAAAAGACTTATTGCAGATATAATTCTTCAAGGATAACCCTAGAGTGAAAGATACTCGTCAATTGTTTTCAGAAATCAAAACTTTAGAAACTCGTTCTTAAAGATTTTATTAGATTATATTTTAATTACGATTGTAATAGAATTGACATGTAATATCCCGATATGTAATATGTCTATATTATTTTATCCATCGATGAAATAGATGAATACTTTCCATGTAATAATAATAAGTGTATATAAAATAGGAAATAAATCTTTTTCTATTGTACAACACATAGGTCCTGAAAAATAAATAAATTTGGTAATAACGAAATATAATTATATAATTAGATATAGTGATCGTACATATATACTATTGATATATTTATTTTATCTTTTTTGGTCTTATTCCGATGATTTATATTCGATGATTTATATGATATTTTTTCCGGAAAATAAATCAACCTGCAGTTTCATTACAATAGAAAACGATCGATCGGATACCTTCCTATTAATGAGAATGCTGTAATATTAATATTTCATGTGGTTTTAGAGATATTATAAAATATTACGAAAATAGTAAAAGGAGAAGCTGCAATCAATATGTTAAGAGAATAGTAATAGATTGCAATTAAAAAATATTATCTATATACTCTAATACTTTTTTCTCTGTAAGTTTTAATAATATATATAAGTTATTTTAAATTTGCAATTAAATTCAATCTCATAAAGCGTATATTTTTAAAAATTTTAAATTATAATTTAATTAAAATGCAAAGAGATCAATTGATATACAGAGTGTTCCAGAATTATCGTACCACCTGCTAATGACAGATTCTTGAGATCATTTGGAGACGATTTTTCCTCAGCGAAAATATCGAGGCATCAATAATTTCCGTGTTATAAGTGATTCAAAAAGAAGGGTTTTTTGCAAACTAAACTTTATAGAGAGTTAAAACTACTTCTTTAGTTAATTTCAGATAAAGTTTACTTTAATAAAGAGAGAATTTTAATTTAAAGCTTAGTTACAAAGATATATGATGGAAAAAATTGGAAACTTGCAAAAAATAATGACCTCTCTCGACATTTTCGTTGAGGAAATATCGTCTCTAAATAATCTCAAAAATTTATCATTAGCAGGTGGTGCGGTAATTCTGAGACACCCTGTATATAATATTCTCATACCAAGAACAATATAGTTTATTTAAATCATTATTTTTGTTTAGCGAGTATAATATTTATAAACATGTGTGTGTGTCATTAATACGATATATTACGGGATTAGAATGTATATATATAATTTTTAAATATCTCATTTTATATTATTATATATTATTATAAATGTGCGTTTGAAATTAAGACGTCTTCTCCATGAAAACGCGCGGATACCCGTTCCTTATCGTTCAAAAAAATTGGAAACTTGCAAAAAATAATGACCTCTCTCGACATTTTCGTTGAGGAAATATCGTCTCTAAATAATCTCAAAAATTTATCATTAGCAGGTGGTGCGGTAATTCTGAGACACCCTGTATATAATATTCTCATACCAAGAACAATATAGTTTATTTAAATCATTATTTTTGTTTAGCGAGTATAATATTTATAAACATGTGTGTGTGTCATTAATACGATATATTACGGGATTAGAATGTATATATATAATTTTTAAATATCTCATTTTATATTATTATATATTATTATAAATGTGCGTTTGAAATTAAGACGTCTTCTCCATGAAAACGGTATCTGAACCCCCATTCCCCGCCTTCTCATTTTCCCCTTTCTTTTTTTCTAGTTACTTCAATCTGAGATTAATATATTCAATCAAACGGACCAGTTATGTAGCATAGATAAGTGAATATCGAGGACAAATTCGCCGTTCATGTTGGCTCGAATAAAATGAATCGAAAAGACTCCATCCATAGACGTGGAATAAATATAGACTCCGATCAAGTACTGCGTCCAACTTGTTAGAGAGAGAAAGGTGGCTTCAACAGCCTTCGTTTTCGATTGTATGAGATGTAAAAAAAAAAAAATAAAAAATGTACTCCTTTTCGAACACGCGGATAGAGGGAATATACGCGCGTTCTATATTTATTATGTATTCTATGGGTTTCACCGCAAAAACGGCCGCCATGTGTAATTTCAAAATTGTCGCATCAACAGCTTTCGCATAATTAAAGGGTGTCGCAAGAGATAGCTGCATATCAGATTTTGCATCGGAAAATCGAAACGGCATCGCGATCACGCATTGAAAATACCAACGATTAGAATTAGAAAAAAATGAAAGGAAAGTGTCATCCTCATTGTCAGTACGCGATCTCCAACTTCAATCTCCAAACAGGTATGAGATTTTCATGTGTACGGTGTTAGCCCCAGTATCGGATTATGCATATTGAAAAGATTAAAAATTAGATTAGATTAGAATGAAAACAACACAAATTAACTAAAATTTCATTCCTCTGATTGATCAATCTTCAATCTCAATTTTTAATGCGTAGTCTGATATGCGCTTTAACCTCTTCAGGGACAAATTTATTGAAGTCGGAAATAATTATTTATTTCTTTTTTTCGATTATATTCATTCAAAATATATTTATAATTATTAAAGAAAACAGAAAAAATTGAAGAACGTTTGAAATCTCTGAAGAAAATAATGGAAAAAAAAACACCCATATGGCTACTGTGTGTTAAGATTAATTACTCTGAAATAATTTTATATATTAAAACTAAATGTCGATATCCTTGAAGAAGTTAACGCTATTAAAAAGAATGTGCAAGACCGTTTCGGAGACACGTACCGACGGACGCGAGATGCTGCTTGCGCGACGCGGAGACGCGTTGCGTCGTCGCGTCGTTCGCGCACGCGGCGGGCGGAGTCGCAGCTGCGCGCCTCCGAACGGGCGGGCCCGATGGACGGGCTCTGGCGCCATTTTGACAGCGTCGACCACGCCCCTTCTGTTCGCCCATAGGTCAGAATCGTGTCCGCCCGATGGACGCGACGCGCGCGCGCGCGCGCGGCAACCAGTTTAGCGGCCTCCGACACGACGACGCTATCGCGACCGATCGATCAACGACTATCCCGGCATCCCCTTCCTTCCATCTCGTCACCCCTTCCTATCACGATTCTTCTCGTAGCCTTTTTACGCACACTATCGCCCGCATCCCTCTCGCGCGGTTTCACCGAACGGTGAAAACGGCTTCCAGCGTGTTTTATGGCTTTTTGCCCATAGGGCGACGTACAGTGTAACTCTGAAATAATGGTAGGACGGGAAGTGAAGGAGGATTCGAGTAATTGAGACATACGCATTGTTTTTTTAGCAATCTGCTCTTTCTTTCGACCTTCTTCTTTCTTTGTCTACTCGATGTCTCTCGAAGTATTTCGTTTCAAGTAGGAAATGTAACATGTATTACAGTTTAAGAAAAAACAAACTTTTATACTGGGATATATTTCGCTTTATTGAGACACGAAAATTATCATATAACTATAATTTATTTATGTATGATATACGCATGATGCAACACATTGTATACATATAATCTACAAATGGGCGCTTATCGTTCACGTGGATATCTCGTTATTTTCCATATATCCTCGAGATTCGGTAATGAGTTCTTTATTCGAATACGCATATCATCTCTCGTTTTCGATTGTTGTGAAAATCGTTAGCAATTTACATAAAAGCTGTAATGTACAAAGAAACAAGTCAGCAGAGTGAAACTTAGGCAAATCGATCAATCACAGTCAAGCATTCCCTTCGACTTAAGCTATCATTCTCGAAAACATTTTACTGTGATGAGTTGATTCTTTTATCGCTTACGATTTTTTATATACAATGGCCTCTTTAACAAATCTTATATTTTTTATTGTCGCTTAACAACCGATCTCTCACTCTCTCTCTCTTTCTCCTTCCCTCTTCCCCCCCCCCCTTTCTCTCATACAATGACTGCAAAATATACAATTCTTGATTATTGTATTGTTTACTGTACCGTTTCCAATTTATTTTACATGATGATTAAAAAACTAAAAAAGTGACTGAAAAAACAATAATAAATTAATAATAATTATAATTTGACGTATCTTTTGATTATCCGAAAGATACGTTACTCGCTGCTCCAGTGATCGATATTTTACAGCAATTTAAGATATGCATATTAAGGATGTCTTTTTCGAGATATCCCAGAGTATTTCTTCAAATAATTGCCATTTTACGAAGACACTTTACTATCTGCCATTTTTCCGGAAAAAATACAACAGGCGCGCAAAATTATTTTCGATTAAAACTTAATCCATTCAATACTCGTTCGCCGTCATTTTTTCCATTCGAAAATTTCATTGTCCAAAGATATTTTATCGTCTACGACGGTTTTTTGTCCGACATTTTCTCGTTTGGTAAACTTATTAAATCGTCAAATCTAACGAGATGCGATATCTGACGTATAATCTAATTCTAATCTATCAAACCATAAAAAGTTATAGAAACGTGATAGGAGTGAGATTATGTAGAAGATGTATTAAAGATCTAGGTTCGATTAGGTAAAATATCGAACAAAGAATCGTCGTACGAATGGCGAAATATATATCTTGGAAATACCGAACGGAAAATTGTCGACGGGCACATGTCGAAGGGAGATATAACAAACATGACCTGCTATCCCATTTTACGAAGTCAACTTGTAAAAGATACCGATAACAAAAGTATCGCTAACACACAATATAGATAGTACTTATATCGCTGTAGATATAGCAAGTTCTGTCAAACCTCGAGTAAATAACTAGCTATGGACATCCGTCCTACATTTGTTTGCATGCAACGCGATCGAGTTTCTATAAATTATTATACCGATATACTTTATACTTTGCAATTGACCGCTTTACATTGACCACTTTACATCGTTGTAATATATCATATGATGTAGGGATTTTTTTGTTAGAATTTTGCAACGTAAAAACTTTATTTTCATCGAGCTAAATTACATTAAACTTTTGCATTAGTATATGTTATTAAATGTTCATACTTTGTTTAAATAAACAAGATATAATGTCATAAAATCATAATAAAATGTAAATGCATAAAAAATTATAAAAAGAGATATACAATATATATTATGATGTACAAGTATTTTATATACATTGCAGACGTCATAAAGTGAAAGTAAACGTCTTTATTTTGAGGCAAAAACAGGAAACAAAAGTATATCCTTTTATATCCATGTGACGTAATATCTTGCTTTTACTATAAAAAAAGTATTTGTCCTATATTTTATAAGTTTTTTTTTCCCGTAATCATTGTCATTAAATATCACAAAATGGCAAGAATAATTCAGTTATATTCTTATCATTTACAGCTTTTCAGAGAAGCTTGATAACATTTAAGAAACTAATGTTTAAAGTTAAAGCAAACAAATACTCTAATCTCTCTATTCAAAATCCCGTTTTTATCTTTCAATGTGTGTATTTATAAATTTAAAAACA